GGTGGATGGAGCACGGAACAGGTTTTGTAAAAATTGGAGCGCGATAAAAAAAATTCACGAAGTCAAAGCCCGTGCCGCGGTAATTCTCTCTCGAACAGCCGCACAAGGCGGTTATGACGGCAGCGCGCGATTCGGGACTGGAATGTGCATATACCTGTTATTGAGGTTCTTGTCATCCTCCTACACAAACTACCTTACGGAGAAAACACTTTAGAAACTTTATCGTTATCTCATGATTGTGCTGTACAGCATCTCAAGCCAAGCATCAGTAACTCCACCTTCACACCAGTGTAGGCAGTCGTCCTTTTCAATCGAGGCTCCCCCTGGAGGCGACATCAGGGAGAAAAAAAGTTTGAATCAATATGCATGCAATCAAAGCAGAGTTGATTAACATCATACCGTAATTACATCCCTACCTCTCTTAGATGTACATATGCGTACCTGGGGTAGTCCAATTTTGTAGATGTCCATCGGGTCGCCATGAGCTCATAGGGAGGATATCCACATAACGGATAGGGCTACCAAGTAACACCCTCAGCTGAACCTCTCGAAACGCCCTCGCTATCTTCTCTACTCTGAAAACCTTCTTTGTCTGACAACGCGGGAACGATTTAGGAAACAAAGGGGAAGGCTCATCAGCGATCAAGTAGAGGAGAAACAGCAGCTGACATGGCCAAGATCTTGTTTGCCAGAACACCCAAATGATGGCGGAAATAATGGAGCTTTGTTGCTGCACTGCACCTTGATACATTTGCTTTTGAGTCGATCCACAAGCTGGCAAAAATAATGGCGCTTGTTGCTGCACCTTGATAGGTTTAGGTCGAAATGTGAGTACCTGCAGGCCAGTAGAGAGTACCTGGTTCCATGTCAGCTTCTGATTGGTGGAGCACGAATTCTTGGGCAGCCCGGGAACTCTGTAGTGCGAAGGCGAGACACCCATCAGCACAGCTCTACCAAAAAATTTGGATCTGGTTACAAAGTTACGGAGAGTGGTGAGGCCGATGGCGTAAGCATCTGCGTTGCTGCTTGTGACAATCTCCCTTCCGCTCTGATACCACCGCATCCCCTTCCAAAACCACCAATTTGTGGCCTGAGAGGGAGTGAGCATGCATGAATGCGTGAAAGGGGAACAATTGCGAGTGGATTAGAGAAGAGAGATATTGGATGTCGAATGTGAAGAACTGCCTCTCACTAATGTAATTAGTGAAGGAAACGGTAGGGAAAGGGGACTGACCTGCAAGACCACAATATCTATCAGCAAGTGACAACAAATCCACCATCTGCTGGTCAACCTTATCCTTTTTTTTTTTTTTTTTTTTTTTTTGAAAGGCTGATCTCAAAACTGGGAAAGAGGTCGCACCTGGAAAACGACAATATCAGCAAGTGGCAGCAAATCCACCACCTGCTGATCCACCTGATCCAGATCAATCCGGTACTGTAGCTTCGGAGTGGGCATCTGAGCTCCAGTTAGAAGCCATTTGGAGAACACCGAGGCGAATCTGATTCCGTGAGAGGGCAGCTGTATGCCCTCTGCTGTGCTGCTGCCCCTCTGGATCGTGAACGGCTGCACTGTTACACTGTTACCAGCTTTGCCAGCAACAGCAGCAGTAGCACCACCGCTACCAGCAGCAGCAGTATCACGAGCAGCGGCAGCAGGAGCACCATCACCAGCAGCGGCAGCAGCAGCGTGCAGGAAGCATGCGATGGAAGAAGCGAGGTTCTTTGACACGCTGTCACCGAACACAAGAACGAGCTTGTTCCTCAGAGCGTGGAGCAGGCGCAGTGGGGTGAGGCGGCTGATCCTGCATGAGTAGGGCTGGGGAATGGGAGCAGAAGGTATGACATGACAGACGTGAGGGAGAAAGCGAGGTATTCTTTGATATGCTGTCGCCGAACACGAGAACGAGCTTGTTCCTCAGAGCGTGGAGCAGGTGCAGTGGGGTGAGGCGGCTGATCCTGCATGAGAAAGGCTGGGAAAAAGAAGGGAGAGAAGGGCTGGCTGTTGGGGAGGATAGCTTAGCAGAGCCGCCTGCTCTCGAGGCAAGCAGGGAAGGTTCCAAGAAAAGCACCCTGTTTAGGAAAATCTTGGGCGGAGCCAGAAGAGGCAATGGAAGCTGCACTACCTTCCCACAACGGGGAAGGCCAAGTGGAAAGGGAGATCAACTGGTCAACGAGGGCAGAATTCTGGACCAGAAACCAGTAACCAGTAACCAGAATTGGGAGCATGCTTATAGCGCGTACGTACCACCCATCTGTACTTCTGGTAGGAGAGGTCCGTTCTACCCTTGTTTCTGGCAGTTTTGGCTGTATCGTATGCACGGACATGGGAGGCCCGTGTAACTGAAATGGTATGGGCGAGAGGTTCATGCCTACAGCGCGTACGTACCACCCATCTGTACTTCTGGTAAGAGAGGTCTGTTCTGCCGAGCCTCTGGCGATTCTGGCTGGATCGGATGTACGGACACGTCAGCCCCGTGTAGAAAGGAATGGTAAGGGAGCGAGGTTCCTGCTTATAACGCGTACGTACCACCCATCTGAATTTCTGGTAGGAGAGGTCCGTTCGCCCTAGTTTCTGGCAGTTCTGGCTGGATCGGATGTACGGACACGTCAGCCCCGTGTAGAAAGGAATGCCCCACGCGCGCTGCCACTTTCCCGCAGCAATGTTGCAGGTTTGGTTAGTGGCAGGAACATGCGGTGAATCTGGAATTGGAAGGGGAGGAGCAAGCGACGCACGATAGGAACAAGGGGCGTGAGACCCGTGTAGAAAGGGATGCCGCACGCGCGCTGCCACTTGCCCGCAGCGATGTTGCAGGTGAGGTTACCGGCAGGAAAATGCGGGGTGGCTAGAGGAGGAGAGGGAGGGGCAAAGGACGTGTGAAAGGCACAAGGGGCGTGAGGTCGGTGTAAAAGGAAATGCGCAACGCACGCTGACACTTTCCCGCAGCTACGTTGCAGGTTTGGTTATTGGCAGGAGCGTGAGGGGCGTCTGGAATGGAAGCGCGAGAGGAGGGAGAAATAAACGAGCAGTTTTTTAGGCGCCTCAAAATCGTTGCCACTTGCCCGCTGCTATGTTGCTGGTGAGGTTACCGGCAGGAGCGTGAGGGGCGACTGGAATGGGAGGAAGAGAGGGAGGGGCACAGGACGTGTGGTAGGAACAAAGGGCGTCAGCGCGGTGTAAAAGGAAATGCCCCACACGCACTGCCACTTGCCCGCTGCTATGTTGCAGGTGAGGTTAGTGACAGGAGCGTGAGGGGCGTTTGAAATGGGAGGAAAGGGAGGGGCACAGGACGTGTGAAAGGCACAAGGGGCGTGAGGCCGGTGTAAAAGGAAATGCGCAACGCGCGCTGCCACTTTCCCGCTGCTATGTTGCAGGTGAGGTTACTGGCAGGAACATGAGGGGCATCTGGGATGGGAGGGGGAGAGGAAGGGGAGAGGAGATAGAGAGGAAAAAGTGAGGAGGGTGAGAGGAGGGAGAGAGGGGAGTGCCGGCAAAAGGGCTGCCATGATAGATTTCAGACACGCCGGGCTGGACCATTGTTGGCCCTTGACTTTTGAGTCTACTCAGAAGTCACCTTTCCCGGTTGCACCATTGTTGACCATCGATAATATTTGTTGGAATGGGTGAGGCGCATGTGCGGTGGCAATCACGGAAGCAACTTTGACCGCCATTGACCGCCATTGATCGCCATGGATCGCCATTGGCCGCCATTGACAGCCTCGACTCGACAGCCGTCGGACGGAGGCTGCTGTTCAGTTAACTGCTTGTGTCCTACCAACGAGCACAGCTCGAAATCGTTCTCTACATAGTCAAGATTGGGCAGGGAGTGGTATACCGAGTATCGAGAAGTCTTATATGATCCTACGTACGGGTGTAGTTCGGAGGGGCTCTTACAGAGTCGAGAATGAGCACGTGCGCGGGGGTTGGGTCGACACGGCTGGAGCAGCAGCACGGCGGCGAAAACAATGCAGACCTGACGGAACGGCGGAAGATTTCGCCTCGGGAACTTCATGATTGGTGAGCACCCAATGCGTTATTTCCCGAATAGAACCTGCGTGGGCTGAGACTTTAATTGAGGCGCCTAAAATTATGTCCGGGGTGCCATGACTGCTGGAAAGCTTTAGGAAGGGCAAAGAAAAAGTGACGAGGAGCAGGGGCCTGGCGATTTCAGTTTGTGTTTCTTGAGGCGCCTAAACAGTCATGCCACGACCCAGGGGGCTGATACCCCCCACCCCCTGCAGTGGCTAGATTACGTCTTAGCATGCAGGGACTCCTTAGGTGACTGGAATGCCCCGTCCCATGTTAGCGCCCACGTGCTATCGCCTACGCGCTAACTTTTACACGTTATCACCTTCGCGAGCCAAATGCGTTGATTGACTGGAAGTTCGCGGCGGACGCTCAGTTAGTAGTTGCCGCAACACCAAGGGCGAGGAGGAGAGGGTTTTTAGCATGAAAGAAATGGGAATGTCAGGGAGATGCGGAAAAGCAAATTTGGTGGAGGGCGCAAATTATTTGACGGAGATGAAAGTGGTTGGAAGGGGCGCTATGGTCTGGCAGGGAGTCGGATTTCTGCCAGCCATTCGGAGCGAAGCGCGAATTGCAGGTTGTGCGAATCGCTTTGCGGGATGAATAGTGTTTTATGCAAGATCGCAGCAAATTTGCAGTTGCATTTTAAGTGCAATATGAGTTCGTCCATATAATGTAGTGCGCATTTCATTTTTGTATAAAATTTCCTCCAGCTGCAGCTTGAATAGAAGCCAGTTTTGTTCTCTCCACTTGCAATGATTCACTATTTGGTGGATAGTGAGCGCATAGAATCTGGTAGACGTGGCGGGATATGTGGAGGATGGGCAGAAAGTGAGGCAAGAAAAAGGGGAGATAAAGAGGGTGAATATATGCATGGTAATGTGAAGTATAAACAGTTCGAGGAGCACTAAGGCTTGAATGAATAAATAATACATGGGCAACCATTGTGGAAAATACTATCAATTGTCGTACACACCGTCAAGGCCGCTTGGCAGTGCTCCATGGCTTGCTTGTAATTACCGAACTGGCAACATAGGAGCGCCATACAGTCTTCCGCCTGCCGTTTAACCATGTATCGTGCACATCATGCCACATAACCATGTATAGTGCACATTCATGCCACATAACCATGTATAGTGCACATTCATGTCACATAACCATGTATAGTGCACATTCATGTCACACAAGCATGTATACAGTGCACGTCCATGCCACAAAAACACGACCAGTGCATGCCATGCCACACAAGCATGCGCAGTGCAGGTTCAAGCCGCACAAGATAAACAATGCATGAGACACAAGGATGCACACGTTGCCACACAAACATGCACTTACATGGCACACTACCACACACACGCACACACACAAATCTATTCACATAGGCCCACACACCATATCTTTAAGGTGAGGAGGAGAAAAGGCTTTTTATTGTACCTCGGTGAGAGTGCGGTTGAGAGGGTAACGGTACCTCGGTGAGAGAGCGGTTGAGAGGGTGCAAGCGGTGCCGGAGAGAATCCAACAGTCTGTATTTGAGGCGCCTCAAAAACACAAGGAGCACGTGACTGTACCTCTGCAAGAGTGCGGTTGAGGGGGTGACTGTACCTCTGCCAGAGTGCAGCTGAGAGGGTGCAAGCGGTGCCAGAGTGAACTCAACAGCCTGTTTCTGAGGCGTCTGTTACTGAGGCGTCTCAAAAACAGAAGGAGCACGTGACTGTACCTCTGCAAGACTGCGGTTGAGGGGGTGCAAGCGGTGCCGAAGTGATTCCAACAGCCGAGATGCGCGAGAGAGGGTCGATGCTGACGGTGGGGCAGCGGATCTCTCACTGTCTCGTAGCCTGATGAGGGTGAGAGAGCAGCAGCAGCACGTGGCATGGGGAAGAATGGTGTGGGCGAAGCCCAAGCGAGGGAGAGACGGCAAAGATGGACCAGCAGAGCTCTCACTGTCTCGTGGCCTGATGCAGGGGAGAGAACACCAAAAGTTGTGGTGCAGAAAATTGTTCTGTTCAACTTTGAAAAGGTAAGAAAAGGAAAGAAAACAAGCTGTAACTGCATCCAAACATCCCTGCCATACCGTTCTACAAACCACTCATACACCTCAACAATGCTTGAGTCGACTCGAAAATTGCCTCATCTTACGCGGTTTTGAGTCGACTAAAACAACTGCATTCCTACATCCCTGCCAAACGGTTCTACGAACCACTCATACGCCTCAGCAAGTCTGCAACGCACTTTCTTACCTCAGCAAGTCCGCTCTGATCGCATCCACTGTAGCAGCCAGCTTCTTCCCCCGCTCCACTTCCTCAACCCCTGCACCCTCTGCAGACTCTCCTTCACTTGGCAGTTTCTTCCTCCTCCCAACCTTTCCAACTCCTCCCTCCTTCCTCTCCTTCTCAAACAATCCACATCCGCAACCAACACACTTCCAGCCAATACCACCAGCCAGCCCTGGTACCACACCTCTTTCCCCACATCCCTTGGCATGGCACCGGTAGCCTCGGAGACACAGGTCCGAAAACGCTCGGGCAGGATCGGTGCAGGCTCGGCAGGAGCACTGGAAGAAGTACCTCTGGCGGAGCCAGGTTTGGCGCTCCGAAGCTGTCTTCTCCCCAACCTGAGCTCCGTACCCGATGCTGAGCTCTTGGCCCGGGAGGACAGGTTCGGTAGTTCGGGCCACTAGGAGACGGCGATATGAAAGAGATGACCCAGGGAGAGAAGAGGCGGATAGACTAGAGAGTGGGGGTGTGAGTAGAGGAAATGGGAGAGCAGAGGGTGCAGAGGAGGAAAGCGAGGGAGCAGAGAGGAGAGGAGAGGAGGGACTGATGGGAGGGGTGGAGGGCGAGAGAGGGAGAGGAGTGGGAGGGAGAGGCGAGGAGGGGAAGGAGAGGGAGACGTTGGGATGGCAACTGTGGTTGAAGAGCGATGCAGAGAGGTAGAGGGCTTGGGCGATGGGCACCTGATGTAGGGGTTGATCAAGGGAATGATAACAGGGTGGGAGAAAGGGAACGGAACGGAGGTGAATAAGCTGTGGTAATGAAGCGCGAGGCAGTGAGGTAGCGTGCTTGAGCGATGGGCACCTGGTGTGGGGGTTGATACAGAGAGGTGGAAATGAGGCGACTTTTAAGGCGCCTCAAAAGACGTTCTGAGGGGCCTCAAAATGCACCTGGTGTGGGGGTTGATACAGAGAGGTGGAAATGAGGCGTGAAGTGTTGGATTTTCTCCAAGGTCAATCCATGGCGCTGTGTGGTTACCAGAAATAGTCTGGTTACCATCACAACTGCAGTTACCACTGTACCTGTTCAATGCCCTCCAGTTGACCAGCAGTGCCGCCACTCTCCCCTCCCTGCACCTGGCTCACTGCCACAGCATTGAACCGCAGTTGACCCAGCACCACCAGCACTTGGAGACTTGACACGCGGAAGCGAGTCAAACGGTGATGAAGAGAAAAGGCATGTTGCTGCGGCTGCTGGTGATGCTGGTCCTTCCACCTGTTATCCCCCTTTGCATGTGCTAGTTCCAGTGCAACTGTAGCGAGGGAGGAGTTGATGCAATGGGATGTGACTATAGCGAGCAGAGCCAGACGGACAAACTCTTCCTCCGGCCATACATGCCCTAGCTGCAACTCTCCCCTTTCTCCCATCCCTTCTCCCATCCCTTCTCCCATCCCTTCTCCCATCCCTTCTCCCTCTCCTCTCCCCCTTCTTTCTACCCCCCCTTCCTCCTCCTCACCTCCTACCTCCTTTCCGTTTCCCTGCTGCTCTCCTCCCTTTTCTTGCTTCCCTTCTACCTCTCTTCTCAAACTGTGAAGAAGCAATGATGAAGGGGGAAGCGGACCAAGATGATGACACAAGGCAATGAAGGAATCCACCCCCCTCCTTCTCCTCCCCAGCCCTCTTCTTCCTTCCACACCGCCATCAATCCTTCCCTCACCCTGTGCTAGTCCACCCCCCCCGAATCCCACCTGCCCCAGTCCCACCTGCCCCACCACCCTACCAACCAAGCAGGCCTCCACCGGCAAGGCAGCATGCCAGCTGCTGCCGCCACACTCCCCCAGATGCTCCCCCCACCAGGTAACACCTGCCCTCCACCCCGGCTGTAGCAGCTCCGCTGCTGTAGCACCTGTATCTCCCCCATTTTCCAATGCGGTTGTAGCACCCGTATCTGTAGCAGAGGCAGCATCTGTAGCAGGTGGGGCATTTGTAGCAGCTGTGGAATCTGTAGCAGAGGCAGCATCTGTGGCAGTAGAAGCAGCATCTGAAATGGACGTTGCCACTCCCAGAGCCATAGCAGCGCAGAGGGGCCGGCAGAAGAGGGCAAAGGAGCAGCCAGGGCAGGGGAAGGGGTTGGAGGGGAGGGGCAGCAGGCAGTGGTGGCAGCAGGAGGAGCGGTGCGGCTTCAAGAGTGCCTGATGGGAAGAGTGAAGGCAGGAGGGCAGAAACGCACAGAGATGATAAGCATGCAAGGGAAAAGAGCTTTAAGGTGCCCAAAAAAAGGCAGTGGTGGCAGCAAGAGGAGTGGTGCGGCTTCAAGAGGGCCTGATGGGAAGAGGGGGATGCAGGAGGAGGGTGGAAGGAGGAAGGGGGAAGGAGGAGGGAGGGCTGAGGGAGGAGGGAGGAGGGAGGAGGGAGGAGGGAGGAGGGAGGGGAGAGAAGTAGTGAGATGGTAAGGGCCCCAGAGGAAAGAGGTGATCACCTCTTTCCCCCAGACACTGACAGAGAGCTGCCTGCACGCAATCGAGAGAGCTGCACGCAATCGAGAGAGCTGCACGCAATCGAGAGAGCGAGGAAGAACCAAACTTACCGCAACTATCGGTTCTTCAACTAGCACAACTGTGCCAGCTGGCAAAACAGGAGCGCCAGCTGGCAAGCCAGGAGCGCCAGCTGGCAAGCCGGGAGCGCCAGCTGGCAGGCAGGGAGCACCAGCGCATGGCTCTGTGCCGGCTGCAGCAGCTCTGGTGCCTCTGCTTGTATAACCCGCTGCAGCGAGCCGAAGGCCCCACCCTGCATGCGAGTCTTGGGGAGCCCTTGCGCATGCCTGCTGAGAAGCACTAGTGGCATTGGTCGCACTGGTGGCGTTGGTCGCACTGGTGGCGTTGGTCGCACTGGTGGCGTTGGTCGCACTGGTGGCGTTGGTCGCACTGGTGGCGTTGGTCGCACTGGTGGCGTTGGTAGCACTGGTAGACTTTGTGGTGCCGGAGCTGTCAAAAGAGGACAGGTGGGCTGCGAATGCCTTACTTCCATCAACTCGTGTTGTAGTAGCACTGGTAGACTTCGTGGTGTCTTGAAGCATCTTGGGACTTGCACCATGCATGGAGCCTGTAGTGCCACTAGCACCAGTAGCACCAGTAGCACCACTAGCACCAGTAGCATCAGTAGCACCAGTAGCACCAGTAGCACCAGTAGCACCAGTAGCACCAGTAGCACCAGTAGCACCAGTAGCACCAGTAGCACCAGTAGCACCAGTAGCACCAGTAGCACCAGTAGCACCAGTAGCACCAGTAGCACCAGTAGCACCAGTAGCACCAGTAGTATGGGTGGAATCTGCCCTGCCAGTTGCAACGCCTGTAACATCACGAGCAGAGTCCCTTTCCGCTGTTCCAATGTGCCTAAAGGGTTCCACTTGCGGATGTAACCATGCGGTTACCACTGCTCCGTGACTTCTCTTGGCTGCTGTTGCAGTGCCTAGTGCTGCCATCACTGCTGCTGGCGCTGCTGCTGGCGCTGTTGCTAATGCTGCTGCTGGTGCTGTTGCTAATGCTGCTGCTGGTGCTGTTGCTAATGCTGCTGCTGGTGCTGTTGCTAATGCTGCTGCTGGTGCTGTTGCTAATGCTGCTGCTGGTGCTGTTGCTAATGCTGCTGCTGGTGCTGTTGCTAATGCTGCTGCTGGTGCTGTTGCTAATGCTGCTGCTGGTGCTGTTGCTAATGCTGCTGCTGGTGCTGTTGCTAATGCTGCTGCTGGTGCTGTTGCTAATGCTGCTGCTGGCGCTGTTGCTAACGCTGCTGCTGGTGCTGTTGCTAATGCTGCTGCTGGTGCTGCTGCTGGTGCTGCTACTGGCGTTGCTGCTGGCGCTGCTGCTGGCCTGACTGCTGCTGTTTCTCGACTTGTTAGAGCTTCCTTGTTAAGTGTTGACTCTTCCTCTCCTGTTGCTGCTAGAATTTCCTTCTTTTGCTCCTCTGTAGTTTTCTTCAACTCGTCAGCAACTTTCTTTGCCCCGGGTCGATTTCCAGCCGCTTCCTCCAATAGGAGAGCTCTCTTCAAGTCAGTGACTGCACCGTGATACTTTTTTCGGGCAGCCCTAACACACCCCCTCCGAAACCAAGCCTGGCATGGAAAAAGTGGCAAAACAGAACAGCAACGCATGGAAAGGCGTGGTGAGCTATAGGCATAGCATGGGACGGTCCATCATAGTCATTGCAGGGCACAGATATTCACAGTCATGGCATGTGATATGGCATGGCGTCAGTTATGGCATGGGATGGACATGGCATGGCATCAGATATGGCATGGGATGGACATGGCATGGCATCAGATATGGCATGGGATGGACACGGCATGGCATGGAGTATGGCATGGCATGGCACCTACCTTACAGTAAGATGGAGAGAGGTGGATGGCATGGGAGCAATCCTCTTCAGCCTCCCTTAGCTGTCCCATTCTCTGAAGATCATACATTACACACACACATGCACATGCACATGCACACGGATATGCACACGCATGAACACATACACACATGTGCATCCATCACGAGTTAGCAACCGGAGCACACAAATTTGCAAGAACGATGACACTAGACGAGCCATTCACATGCAGACACGTGGCATGTTAAGGCCACTCACATGCAGACACGTGGCATGATTGGTGAAGAGTACTGCCAGCAAGTCAGGTGACTCCAGAGGCGCATACTGGAGGGCCTGCAGGGAGCCAGCCCGCACAACCCAAACGGGACAATAATAGTGAAAATGTCGGTGAGGCGCATGATTTCTGTTGTGAGGCGCCTTACAACGCGTACTGCAGGGCTTGCAGGGAGCCAGCACAACCCAAACGGGAGGGGGAGGACTGGAAGATGAGAGGGTGGGACACACAGATTCTGTCCTTGAGGCACCCTGTGCTGGCTCCCTGCAAGCCCTGCAGAAACGCTTACAGCAGAAACGCGTACAGCAGAAACGCGTACAGCAGAAACGCGTGCTGCAGGGCTTGCAGGGAGCCAGCACAACCCAAACGAGAGGCTACGAGAAGCTACGGCCTCTCACCTTGCTGTGGCACGTCACGGCCTCTCACCTTGCTGTAGCAGGTCACGGCCTCTCACCTTGCTGTAGCAGGTCACAGCCTCCGCATACTGCTGCTCTCCAAACGCGCGGTTGCCTGCGGTCTTGGCCTCACCCGTCACTGCGCTGTCCTTGGCGCACGGGCCTTGGCGGTCAGTGAGAGGAGCGATCAGCTGTTCGAAGCAAAGAAAAAGAGTACAATCTGAGTCTGTACAAAGATACTTAAATGGATTTTTGAACCAACGGAAAAAAAAAAAAGGCCCGTGAACACCCATTGGCTTATAAACTGGCAGTTGCGGGTTGTAACAAGGATAGCTTGGCAGCGCATCTCACCTGATCAAACACTCGCCGGTGCGCGGACTCCTCGAGAAGACTCCTCTCAATGGCTGCGAAAGCCGCTAAGGGGCGGTGAGAGGAGAGAGACTCCTTTACCTCCTCAAGCAGCGACGGCGACAAGAGACGCTGTAACGCGTCCATTGCGCGCCGAGTTGGAGACCGGGGTCACGTCTAGGAGGTGGATGACCGGGGTCATTGGCGGAGGAATTTATGATACACGAGCAGTCGCTGAATTGAACTGGTCGTAACTCGGAATTGAACAATGCGCGGAGTAGTAGCGGAGGTCCACTGCGGCCAAATTTACGTGTCACTTGTTTCGATATCCGCAGTAGTAGCGCTTACACGTGCGATTACCGGTAAGAGTTTCATTCACTTAGTCAACATGCTCTAGCACAGACTACTACCAGGAAAACAATCAGACAACTAGCCACAAACAAGGGGGTGTAGTCAGACAAATATCCCTAGGAAAGCCACCAAGACTTTGTAACAACGTAGCGCCCGAGATCTCGTCCTAGAGAAAAAGACATCGAGCATCACATCTGATTCGGTTGTGCATCAGAGTTAGGTATGTTCCATCCTCCTCCCTCCCTGCATTGCTCCCTCAGTCCCTCACCATTCCTTCCTTTCCCCCTTACAGACGTCACCCATCTCCCCCATTTCCCTGCCCCACCTGCACACACCACTCCATCGCTTCCCACTGCTCTTTGCTCCTCCCCCCTACTTCAGCTTTGCAGCTTTCCCTCTCCCTCTCCCTCGTCCCCGCCCGCGTCCCCTACCTCTCCCTCTTCCCCCACCCACCATCTCCCCAGCCTCACTATTCCCATCCTCTTCCCCCCTCCTCCCCCTCTTCCTCCTCACCCCCACGCCTCCTCTTCTTACTCCTCCCCTCCTCATCCACACTTGCCATACTCCCCGATTCACCCTCCAACGCCCAAGTCCCCCCACTCGCCTCCCCTCCCCTCCCTCCTCGTCCCCCCCCTCTGCCTCCCCTCCTCCCTCCCCTCCCCCTCTTTGCACCGCTCCTAACCGAACTAGTAGGTGAACCCACCACCCCTCCTGCACTCACACCCTGGGACCCCGACGTTGCTTTCCTAGCAGATCGCCTTACCGGCTTATCCACCTCCTCCCCTGCAACCCCGTCTGCTTCCCCAGCCCCGCCTCTGCGCCTCATACGCCCCGAAGGGGTCTGGCTTCCAACAGGCGCTCTGACTGGTGTGGCAGGTTCGGCCGTAGCGCTGGGCACTGCAGCGGCCGTTCCTGCTACGGTCGCTACAGCCAGATGAGCTTCGACTTCCACCACACCTACCGCCACTCCAGCACCAGCCCCAACACCATCCGCCACTCCAACACCAGCACCATCCGCCTGCTCCTCCCCAGCAGCCCGCACAGCAGCAGCAGCAGCAGCAGAAACCACCACCCCAGTGACAGCCACACCAGCAGCACCATCTGCTGGCTCAGCTTCCATCCCCTCTGCATCCCTGAATGCCTCATCCTCATCCCCCTCTGCAGCATCCCCATCCACATACCCATCAGCAGCGTCAGCATCAGGAACACCCTCCCCGTCGTCCTTCTCCCCCTCGTCACCTTCCTTCCCTGTATCTCTTTCCTCATCCATACCTGAAGGACCCGCACCAGCAGGGGACTTGCTACCACCAGCAGCAGCAGCACTACCTCCACCGCCCCACAGACTGGCCAGACCAAATGCAGTTTTCCTGCATTGCTCCAATGCCCAGTTTCGACGCGGCTTCGGAGGTTCGGTCATGGGCACAGCAGCAAGGGCAGCAGCATCTGTTGCACCTGCTGCACCTGCCTTAGCAGCAGCAAGTGCAGAGGTAGGAGTAGATAGCAAACCGAATTTAGCCCCGGTTTCTCTTCCAGGAGTTGTAAACAACCCCCCCTCTCGATCTGCTCCTGCTGCTGCTGCTGCTGCCTCTGCTGCCTCTTCTGCTGCTGCTGCTACTGCAACAGCTACTGCTGTGGCTGCCTCTGTTGCTGGCACCTGAGATTTCGCCTGAGCCTGGGCAGGAGAGCCCAGCAGGGAGTTCTCCATGGTGGCGAGTTCGGACTTGAGCACACGGAGCCGTTCGGCCTCCCGTGCCATGCCCTCTCGCTCCATCTCCACTGACCGACGCTGAGCCTGTCGGGGGATCAGATGCGGTGGGATGGGTTGGAGTGGGGTGAGCAAGGACCAAAATTATCTCTACAGAAAAAAATGTTGAGGAACAAGCAAAAGCTTGCCTTGCAGGGCAGGCAAAAAACAATCAGGGAGAACCTCGAGCTTCAGAACAGCCCTTCTCACCTCAAGCTCCTTCTTCTCCATCTCGAAATCTTCCCGCTCCTCATTCAGCCTCTCCCTCGCAAACCGCAGCTGCTCCGCCAAATCATGCCCGCCAGCAATCCAGCTCGACCCGCCCGACAGCCTCCTCTCCGCACTCTCCGTCCGCCTGCCCGCCTCCTTCTCCTCCTTCAGCTGCCGCCGCTGCTGGTGCAGCTCCTGAATCATCTTCTGCACATCGTCCCAGTGCCTCTGAGTATCCGCCCTGTCCCGCGCCACCGCCTCTCTCTCCCGCTCCATCTTCTTCCTCTCCTCTTCCACCAGAGCCTCCCACTCCTCCCGCCGCCGCCTCTGCTCCTCATCCAGCCTCCGGGAGCGGGCCATAAGATCCCGCTCCTTCTCCTGCCGCTCCTTTTCAGCAGCAGCCCTCTCAGACTCAATTCCAGCCAGGGTCGTTGCCACTTCCTCCTCCGCCTTCGCCCTGCGAGACACTAACTCCAGATTCTGTCGCTCCACCTCCTCCCTCTCTTCCTTCACCTTAGCCCGCTGCTTCTCCAGCTCCCTCAGCTCCCTCTCCTGCCGCCTCCTCAGCTGCTCCACCTGCAGCACCTCTGCTTCCTTCTCTGCAATCTCCTTCTTTAGCTCCACCCGCTTCGCCACCATCTCCTCTCTCTGCCTCCTCAGCTCCTCCCTCTCGCCTTCAATCCTCGCCCTCTCCTCCTCCACCCCAACCCGCTTCTCCTCCACCGCCTCCCGCATCCGCCGCAGCTTCGCCTTCTCCTCTTCCATCCTGGCCTCAAACTCCGCGATCCTCTCTGCCAGCCTATCAGCCTCCGCAGCAGCACGGGCAGCCTGTGCCGCAGCAGCCTCGTCCCTCTCCTTCTCCAGCGCAGCCCTCTGCTTCTCCCTCTCACTCATCAGCTCCCTCCCACCCTCCCTCACCTTCGCCTCCTCCACCCTCAGCCGCGCCCTCTCCCTCTCCAACTCCTCCATCTCCTCCCGCAGATGTGCCCGCTGCTCCTGAATGTTCCTCGACGCCTGAATCGCCTCCGCCTGCTGCTTCTCAAGCCCTTCAAGCTCCGCAATCCGCTCTCCTATCTCCCTCCTCTCCTTCTCCCTCTCCTGCCTCGCCACCTCCCTCTCCTGCTCAATCTTCCTCAGCAGCCCCTCGTTCCCTGCGCGTTCAGCAGCCAATTCCGCCCGTTCAGCTGCAGCAGCCGATCGCATCTTCTCCAGAAGCTCCTTCTCCTTCTCCAGCTCGCTCGCTGCAGCAGCAAGCTTCTCCCTCTCCGCAGCCACGCTCTCCTCAGCCTTCACCGCTGCTTCCTGCTCCGCCCTCGCCCGAGCAGCAGCCACTCTCGCCCCCTCCGCCTCCCTCTCTGCTGCGGCCCTGGCAGCCTTCAGCTCAGCAGCAGCAGCCTTGGCCTCCGCCTGTTCCTTCTTCAGTTCCCGTCTCTCCCCTGCCAGCGCAACCCTCTCCGCCCTAACCTCCTCTCTCGCTCCCACCACCTCGTCCTTCTCTCTCCCAACCGCCTCCCTCTCCTTCCCCAAAGCACCTCTCTCTCTCGCCAGCCTCGCATTCTCCTTCTCAATCTTCGCCTCAGCAGCAGCCTTCTCTTTCTCCACGGCCTCCCTCTCTCGCCTCGCCAAAGCTGCCACATCCAGCCGCTCCCTGTCCAGCCTCCCCAAAGCAGCAGTCACTTCCGCCCGCTCAGCAACCAGCCCCTCCCGCAGCCTCTCCAGCTCCTCTCTCGCCCGATCCGCCTTCGCCCTCTCGCCTTGCACCTCTGCCTTCTCAGCCTGCAGCATCTTAATCTCCCGCTCCAGCTCAGCCTTCTGCTGCCCCAGCTTCACTCTCTCCGCCCTGCTCTCCGCCAGCTCTTGCCTTGTGCTCGTCCGTTCCTCCCGAGCCTTCTCCCGCTCCACCCGAACCTCCAGCAGCTTCTTCTGCACGCCCTCCTTCTCCTTCTCCACCCTCTCCCGCTCCTTCAGCAGCGCCGCTCTCTCCTTCGCCAGAGACTCCCTATCCCGCTTCACCCCAGCAGAATCCCTCTCAACCTTCTCCAGCGCCAGTTTCCTATCCACTGCCACGCTCTCCCTCTCCAAAGCAATCTTCTTCACAAAGTCTTTCCGCTCCTCATCCAGCCTCGCTCTCTCCTGCAGCACCTCCTTCCTCTCAGCCTCCAGGGCATCCATCTCCCCCTTGGCCTTCTCCCACGCGTTTCTCGCCTCCTTCGCGCCCCTCTCCGCCGCTGCCCGTTCCTCCACAAGAGATTTTATCGCTGCCCGATGCTCGGCTGCTTCTGCTCTAGCAGCTTCCCTCTCCTCTCCCAGCAACCCCCTCTGCCTGTGAACCTCCGCAAGGGCCTTCTTGACCTCCTCAGCCTCTCGCTCCACCTGCTCCCTCTCTTTCCCCACTGCCTCCCTCTCAATCCGAACCTTCTCCCTCTCCGCCTCGCCCCTCGCCGCAACCTCCTGCTTTTCCATCTCCACTCCTTCCCGTTCCATCTCCACCACTCTCTTCTGCTGCTCAACCTCTGCTTCCATCCTCTCCCTCTCCCGCACAAGCCCCTCCCGCGCCCGAACCACCTCCTCCTCCCTCGCCGCTACAGCCGCCAGGGCCGCCTCTACTTCACCCATCCGTGCCGCTACAGCCGCCTCTCTCCCCTTCAGCTGCTCAGCCGCCGCTTCAAGAGCTGATTCCCGGGCGCTCACGTCCTCGAGTCTGCTGCCAAGCTCAATCTCCTCTGACTGTAACGCAGCTCTCTGGAAAGCCAGTTCCTCCATCTCCCTCTCCACCTGCTGTCTGCCCTCGTCCGCTTCCTTCCTCGCCCGCACCACCTCATCCGCCTCCTCTCCCAGCCTCACCCTCTCTTCCCGCGCCTCTGCTACCACCCGCTTCCTCTCCTCCTCCACGCCTTCTCGCTCTGCCCGCACGGCGCTCAGCATCTGCTGGTGCTGCTCCTTCCACCCTTCCTTCTCCTGCTCCAGCTCCTTCCGACCCTTCTCCGCCGCTGCCAACATCTCCCGCACCTTCTCCTCTTCCGCTTTCACCGCCTTCCCCTTCCGCTCCAGAGCTGCATGCTGTTGCGACAGCTGAGCAAACACCGTTTTCTTCTCCTCGATCTCCTTCCTCAGCTCGCCCCGCTCGGCCTTCAGCGCCTCTCTCTGCCCCTCCACCTCCGCAGACGCTTCTTCCAGCGCATTCCTCTCCTCACGCAACTTCTCCCGCTCCCTCTCCACCTCCTCCCTCTCTGCCTCGACCTCCTCTCCCTTCCTCCTCCACTCCTCCGCAATCCCTCTCCTCTCCTCCTCCAACTCCTCTCTCCCTTTCTCCAACCTCGCTTCAACCTCCCTCTCTTGCCTCCTCACCTCCTCCCTCTCCTTCTGCACATCAGCTAGTGCTTTCTCCCTCAGTTTCCCAACTTCTACCTCCATCCTCTCCACCTCCTCCCTCTGCCCATCCAGCACCTCCCACTCCTTCTCAAACCTCTCCTTCTCCGCTCTCAGCTCCTGCACGCGCCTCTCCGCCTCCTCAAGCCGCTCCTGCGCCCGCTTCATTTCCGCCTGCGCTGCCTCCCGCTTGACCCCCGACTCCGCTATAGTCTGCTCCGCTTTAGCCAGAGCAGCTGCTGCTTGGCGCTTCTCCGCCTCTGAATCGGCGCGCTCAGAGCGAACCCTCTCCCGGAGGTCCTCCAGCTGCTGCTTCTCCGCGTCCGCCTCTGCTCTCGCCACTTCCAACCTGCCAACACACCAGAGCAGCAGTCCATGCAACACGCAAGAAATATCAAGCATGAGTCACAAATCTTGGGAACCAGACGGTGGGCCGACGTCAAAACTCAACATACAATGAAACACTAAAGCGGCACCCCTCGTCCTCCAGGTTCTCCATCCTTCCTCCCCCAAATCTCCCTCCCCAGCCACACCAAACGTTCCCCATCGTTGCACCCTTTTTTCCCCTCGCTGCACCCCTTTTCTCCCTCGTTGCACCCTTCTTCCCCCTGGTTGTCCTCTTTTCTCCCCCTAGCCCCAACTTAAGACTCACCGCCTCAAATCCCTGTCCAGCTGTGCCTGCCTCAGCTCCACCTCCCGCTCTCTGCTCGCCGCCTGCAGCACCAGCGCCTCCGCCTCCGCCATGCGCTCCGCCGCTCTCTCCGCGCGCCTCTGCGCGCCCTGCTCGCGCTGCTCCACCAGCTCCTCCTTCTGCGCCACCTGCGCGCGCAGCCCTTCCACCTCGTTCTCCTGCGCCTGCACCCTCTCCCGCTCCGCCTGCCAAGCAACCAAGCAGCATAGCAGCCCATACGTCAAGAACAGGTCAGCAAGTGAAGCGCGCAAGAGAAGACGTAACGTTGCTAAGTTCCTGGAGAGCCATATAGATACTGGAGAGCCATATAGTTACTGGAGAGCCATATAGCTACTGGAGAGCCATATAGCTACTGGAGAGCCATATAGCTACTGGAGAGCCATATAGCTACTGGAGAGCCATATAGCTACAAATCATAAGCAGCTCTCATCTCACCAGCAGCGCACGCTCCTTGCTCTGCAGCTCTGCCTGCATTTCCTCCAGCTGCACGCGCCCACTGCTCAAAGACGCTTCCACCTCGTCCAGCCCCTTCTTCTCGCTCGCCTGCTCGCAGTGCAGCAGACACAGACAACCAGAGGCGCACGAGATAAGTAGACAAGCAGACACACAGTATAAGGTACACCAGCCTCCTCTTGGAACCGTCCAGAGCAGATGGGCACATTCTATAACCCCCGAAAACTCTCAAAATTTACGGTAACAACAAAATGTGACTTCCTTCTCAAATCTCACCAGCTTGGCCTTGAGATCGTCCAGCGCCGATTGCCGCTTCCGCAGGCTCTCCTCCCACTCGCGCACCCTCTCCTGCTCGCTCGCCACACGCAGCTCCAACTCCTTGCCGCGCATCTCCCTTGCCACCGCGTCCTGGTGCACACGCGCGAGGGAGAGCGGGGAGAGACACAGGAAGGAGAAGTACGGGGAGGGACGAGGGAGATGGGACAAGAGAGAGGGATAAGCGAGAGGGACAAGGGAGAGGGACAAGGGAGAGGGAAAAGGGAGAGGGACAAGGGAGAGGGACAAGGGAGAGGGACAAGGGAGATGGACAGGGGTAAGAAATCAGCGAGAGAAGAAACGTGGAGAAAAAGACACAGTGGAGGCGAGACGAGGCAGGTGCAAGGATCGGAGCAGGTTGGAGACATAGACCAACTAACACCCAACCCTGTGCAAAGCCCACCCCTAATGCCAGATCCACCCTGTGCTTCGTCAACAGCAGCGTGGCATACCTGTTCGCGCGCCACCAGGAGGTCCTCCTGCACCGCCAGCTCGCCCTCCCGCTTCGCCAGCGCCACCTTCCCCTCCGCCACCGCCTGCGCCTCCTTCCGCGCGCGCTTCTCCGCCTCCCGCGCCTGCTCTCGTACGCCCTCCAGCCGCCGCGCCTCCTCCTGCAGCGCCGCCTTCCGCGCCTCCGCCTGCTGCTCCGCCGCCTTGAGCTCGTCCATCGCTGCGCCTATGCGCGCCTCCCGCGCATCCAGCATCTCCTCGCTCTGCGCGCCCGTAACCACACCACATGCACACACACACGCACACACATACGCACACACACACGCACACACGCACGCTCACCCCACCCACCCCCCCACCAACTCACCCCAACTTCTCCCCCCCCCCCCCCCCACACACACACGCAAGCACAGACACACAGAGAAACACACAAACACCCATACACACAAGCACACGCATGCATGCACGTGAAGCAGTTGTCAGGAGCCGTCACTTCCAACAGCGTATCCATAGAACCACATTACACGTCAAGAAGACACCCATAACTGCCAGCCATTCCCCGTCCCACCCCAAATGCAAAACAATCGAGCTCCCTACCTCCAGAATCTTCGCATTGCGCTGCTTCAACTTGGCCTCCCAGTCACTCAGTGACCCTTTCTGCGCCTCCAGTTCCCGCGCCTTGGCCTCCAGCCTGAAAACGCCACACACCATCCGACAGCGCACACACCATCCACAACCCAAAGCGATTCATATCAGATAGCACTCATGAAACTAGCGATAACAAGGAACAAGGTGTCTGACATTCAGAGCAGCATGGTACAAGGAATCTGCGAAGAGCTCCTAGAGGCAAGGCAGGCAGCAACTCAACCTAACCCAGAAGCAAGCGCCATTCTCGCAAGTATAAAGCGCCATTCCTAGCATATCTCCCCCCTTAACCCAAGGGCTGCAAGCAACCTTTCCCCTCTCTCACCTGTCCTTCTCCGCCTGAACTTCGCGCCTGCCATTCGCCTCCCTGGCCTCCAGCTCCTGCTGCTTCCGCTCCGCCTCCGCAATGCGCCTGCTCGCCTCGCTCCGGCTCGCCTCCACCTGCCGGCTAGCCGCCTCCGCCGCCGCCAGCTTCTTCTGCGCGGCAGCCATGGTGGCGTTGGCCTCGTCCAGCGCCGTGCGCGCGTGCTTCTTCGTCTCCTCCACCTCCACCTGCAGCTCCTTCACAGCTCGCTCCATCTGCAGTCAAAAGGAGTAAATATTGTACGCAATATATGTCAAAAGTATATTCTCAGTAAACCGCGTGTTTCTTCGACTCCTCCACCTGCAGCTCCTTCACAGCTCGCTCCATCTGCGGTGGGAAGGAAAAACCGCAGGAGCTGTTTTTTCCAGAATGCAGCTGCTTCTTTCTTCGAATTTATTCTCTCCCCCTATGCATGCAGGGGAACTTTGACATCAACTTTTCTTTGTTTTCCCACAGATCGCTCCATCTTCAGTGGAAGTGGAAACAGATGAGGGGTCGCCCGACGGCGACGGCATTGAAACGGGGTCCGCAATCAGCGTCATCAACTTCTCGAATTCTCAGGCGACTTGACTTTCGAACATCATGAAATCGATCTTGCTGAGCGACAACGAGCGCGGAAGTGCACGGAAAACAAGGACGGAGAGAGCGATAAGGAAAGCAGACGGAGAGAAGCGACGCGGCGAAAAGAGACGAGAAGGCGTACGCTTGCGACGCAGTCCTGCTCGATGGCGAGCGCGTCTTGTAGAGCCTTTTCCCGCTCCTTCGCTTCCGCCAGAGCGACCCTGTGCGCCGTCGCTTCCCGCTGCAGCTCCGCTTCCGCTTCCTCCAGCGCCGCTCGCGCGTCCTCGTACTTGGGTAGCCACTTCTGCCGCTCCATCAGCAACAGACCCATGTTGTACTGGTACTCGTAGAGCTGCCAGGAAGAGTAATAAGAAAATAAAAATAATATAGATCAGAACAATGAATCTAACGAGATTACGAGAAAATGACAGACTGAGATCGAAACACGGTTAAACATATTGATAGCTGAAAAAAAACGAAGATTCGTCAACGTATAACTATCAAAGAATGCTGGAGATTCCTGTTAAGGAGTAAAGTAGAAGCGCCTCCTTTTACCTCTTGATCCAACGAGTTCGCCTTCTCCATTAGCGCGTCTCGCTCTTTCCGCAGAACCAAGACCTCGTCCAACCCTGACTCCCGGTATCGCTGCCAGACCTGCTCCTCCTCTTCGAGCCTCGTCTCCGCAACCGGAACAATGGCTCGGCTCTGCCTCGCTGCAGACCTGGGAGGAGCCGGCTTTAAAGACGCTGCTGCGATGGCAGCCAATGCATCTTTCGCCAAGGCTGGCGAGGGATTGGCTCGCGAAATGAGGTTACCGTCGACGGAGACGATATCGGCACCGTCTGCGGAAATGAAGCCTGGTGTGCTGTTCCTGCGCCTGGCGCTGCTTCCAGGTGCTGTTGACGTGTCAGGAGGCTTTGGTGTGGCATTCTTCTTGGAAGACTTCGGACCATTGTGTTGAGGAGAGTTGAGAGGAATGTTGTCGAAAGTAAGACGAGTAGCGGTTGCTGATATTGGCGAGAACGCCGAATACTGATTCTGATCCATGACGGGATCTGCTTCAAATCAGCAGAAACCGTAGACAATTAAGAGCGTTAACTGAGCCTCCAGATGTATTACAAATTAATCGAGTACATAGCCGTTCCTTAAGATACTACGACGAGAGCGCGCACGGAAAACCGGCCCGTCCAATGTCAGAGTTTCTGTCTTGGGTAGGCAATGGCGCTGATAAGGAGAAGTCTGAACTGAACTCAAGGTAATCTGAAACCACAGAAGCTCAGAAAACCCTAGAGATCTTCGGCTGGCTCCAGGATTTCAATCTGCACTTGTACCTTTTGCGGGAATGGAATTGTGCTGCAGGTCCTTTGAGAATCAACATTTCCTTGGTTTGGCGGAAGAAGTGGGTTCGGGGATGGTGTCAGTCCGTAACCATTAATTCGTGAATGTTCGCAATGGGAAACGAGCGTCAAGTGGACCGCTTTGAGTTTCGCCACGCTTATCGTCACAGGTACTTGGAACTTGGCTGTCTATTTTGCCTGTCAGCAAGCTTGCCGCGCTTTTCTGACAGCATGACTCGTTTGATGGTGTGTCGGTAAACTATAAGGTAGAAGTTTATGGTTGGCTGTTACATTTGGAAATTGAAGTGCTTCCTCCTCACCCTCGCATTTCTGCAAATTTGCAGGCAGGCCAGCCTTCTTGAGCTGGTCGAGTCACTCTCAAAAACTGGATTGCAACGCTCGTAAACGTTCAAAAACGTACGGAACCTCGCCCCTATGGATGGGCTTGTTCTCCCCCTCCCAGCGTCAACCACATCACTAAGAGAAAGAAATCGCGCCTCGTTCATCATCACACTTCGCTTCACCTTCGCTTCACACTTCTCTTCACCTGCACACATTCAGATAAAACAAGGATGAGACGTGAGCATGAATCCTTAGATTATCACATCAATCCGTACCTCTAGGTTTAAGGCAGTAGCTAGCAACTACACTGATTATTCAGCTATGGGGAATAATGGGCGGAGCATTAGAATCTGCCAACCACGGCTTGTGCTGCTCGCGGCCGCACTGTTGCTAAATTTGGTGACGCACGCAACTGCCGCATCATGGTTTCCCTGGTCTATGGCGAGTGAGTTCGTTTCCTCCTTATATGACTTTCTTCTCGTATTCTAGTTCCATCCAGCGCGTTCATCCAGCCTCACTTTCCATCAGTCCTATGATATCCACCGTGTCTGAAAGGATCAGCTGTTTTGAGTCGACTCAAAACACGACTCGCTATCTATCAATCCTATGATATCCACCGTGTCTGAAAGGATCAGCCGGGGGACACAAAGAACCGTTCCATCCCGGTTTGGTTAGTCTCGGGCATTTTTTACGACTCACGGGAATTGAACCTTTTCGGCTCGCTTCCTCCCCTTCTCTGCGCTCGTTACTACCGCCAACAGCGGTCGGGAGCGGAATGAACAACATTTGTTTGCGAAGTATTCTCGAGAATCTTTACAAACAGCCCCGATATTTCCCCCCTTTTCCCTCCCCACCCTTGCCCCCTCCCCCCCCCCACCCTCCCCTACTTTCTCCTCGATCCCTTCTTCTCTCTCCACCTCTGCTCGTGGATTAAAATGTTAAGCCATCTCACTGTTTCTCCAAGTATCCCCTTGACTTTCTCCCGCCAAAGGCTCACAAACCAGTGATTCGAAGTGGGGGTGCGACATCACCAGCGGGGAGTGGGTGGGCGGGAGGAACCTTCCGCTCTACACGGGAATGAACTGCCCGTACGTTCGCTCCAGTCAGAACTGCGAGAAGAACGGACGGCTCGACATGTCTTTTCAGAAACTCAAATGGCGGGTACGCGTTACACTGTCCCTCGTTTCGTTCACTTCCTCATTCGAAATGGCTGGAATGATGCGGGATTGTGGAGTGATCCCCCCCTTTTTTATATCTTCGTCGTTTCTCTTTCTCCCTGATTTCCAGCCTCATACGTGTAAGACTCGGCGAATGACTCCCAAGTTACTGCGTAACCAACTTCGCGACAAGTTCGTTCTCGTGATCGGTGATAGCGTGGCGAAGAACTTCGCAGCGTCGGTGATGTGCGTGCTGCACTCGTCCAGCTGGAACCTGACGGAACGGTTCCAGTTTGAGAATAGAGGGAGTGTCGCACACGGCATGGAGGTGAGTCGCGCAAGGCATGCAGATGAGTCGCACACGAGTCGCACGCCGCATGCTCCAAGTTCCAACCCCATCGAATCCCTCATTGCAACATCCCTTTCCATCTGCCAATCCCGTCAGATCCCTCGGTACAACATCCGTGTCGCTGCAGTCACATCCAACTTCCTCAGCAACGCCACGGCCCTCCCGTCTACCTCCTCCTCCTCTCCCTCCCCGTCCCCCTCCCCCTCCGCCTCCTCCTCCCCCTCCCCTTCGCCCTTCTTCGGATCGCGAGTCAACCTGGACCAGCTACAGGACGAAATTCTCAATCTCATGCCCCTTGCAGACCTTGTCGTTTTCCAGGCGACCAACTGGTGGACCTCTCGCGCGAACAGATTCTTTATAGGAGACACCGAGTTAACTACAGTAACAGTCGCAGAGGCCTACGAGATGGCCCTGCAAACACTGAAATCCTTTGTAGAGCGGGCGCAGGAGCGCGCGTTCAAGGGCAGGGCGGTGCTGCTGGGGGCGTCCCCTACGCACTATGACCTGCCTCTGCCAGGTGTCCCTGGGGGGTCGTGCCAGGTCAACCAGAAACTCACGTGGCTGCAGGTGAGGAAATGGGAGTGTGATTGCGGGAGTCTGGAAGTGAGGGAGTGTGTGAGTGAGTGAGGGCATATTGGAGTGAGGGAGGGAGTGTGGGAGTGAGAGAGTGAGAGGTGAGTGCACGCTACAAGATGGCCCTGCAGACGCTGAAATCCTTTGTAGAGAGGGCGCAGGAGCGCGCGTTCAAGGGCAGGGCGGTGCTGCTGGGGGCGTCCCCTACGCAACGCACATTGAGCTGCCACTGCCAGGTGTCCCTGGGGGGTCGTGCCAGGTCAACCAGAAGCTGACGGGGCTGCAAGTGAGGCGTAGGAAAAGGAAAACAGTGGGTAAGGTGTGTGGGAGTGAGGGATGCGGCCATGACGAGGAGTGGGAGTGAGGGAGTGTGCGGGTAAACATCGGACAACACGTGCACATTGTGCTATTCTGCAACCCCAGGTTTCTGCCATTCCAGCATTGCCATGAATTACCCAACACTACGTAATCATTCGGGTGGTTGAAATTCCTGTTGCAGGCGCAAGAGATTCGACAGGGAGACACCAATGTGGAGGGGTTTAGAGAGGTGGAGAGGCGGGTGCTGTCGGGGTCTCCTATCCAGTACCTGGATGTGGGGCCCATGAGCGACTCACGACCGGATGGTCACATACAGAACTGGATGGATCCAGGTGAGGCCCACTTGTGGATGATGATGATGGTGCAACTTTGTTTGAGTGGAAATGTGTGTGCTGTCCGTGTCTCCTATCCAGTAATTGGATGTGGGGCCTATGAGTGGCTCGCAACCCCATGGGCACATACAAAGCTGGATGGATCCAGGTGAGGCCCGCTTGTGGAAAATAGCGATGGTGCAACTCTGTGGAAGAGGAGAAATTTCATCGACAATAGCTCTGTGTGGCTGTGGGGTTGACGCGCTGCCTGTATCAGTGTGGGTGGGTGGGTTCCCCTTGTGCTCATTTGGTTCTGTTGCTGTTTATGTGTGCAGGAGAGACGAGTCTATCTACGCGTGATGATTGTCGCCATTGGTGTGAAGGTGGAGTGACCGACGCATGGCTCGAGATGTTGTACAATACACTTCTATACTAGTGGATATGTACATTGGTACTAACCTTCACGTAGGCTCACCTTCTACGAACGAATGTCATGAATTAGTAGCTGTTACGGGTGCAATGAATCGAGGTAGCGAGAATTGCACTAAGGTGTCAAACTAGTACAAATTGTGAGCGAAGGCATGATGAGCGAACATTTATACGCAAAACATGCAAACGGTAACGCGGTGCGTGCGAGCTAGCTAGTGCTATGCTGGAAGCGAGGCTTGGGCTAGTCCCGAAGCGTAGGCCGACACGGCCGGTCCAGCAGTGCGAGGTTTGGTAAAACAGTGCGGCGAAGTCGGCGAAGCCCCGTTAGCAGTAACGGGCGAACAACGGCTACTGCTGTACGCGGTGTTGCAGGGCGCGCTAAGGAATATCCAGAAAATTCTTTACACTACCCCCCCCCCCCCTCAAGAAGCCCCCTCCGCTATGCAAGAACGTGTATATCGCGGAAACCCCGGCTCCTCAGGTACACTTGCAGGGCATGGTGGTTTTCGATGTTGGCCAAGGGCACCCAGCTATCCTCAGTTGGCGTATGGTCCTTCCAGCGAACGAGGAATTCAATCCTCCTCATTCCCGTGGGGTGTCGAATCCAATGGCTCAGGATTTTTTTGGGCTCGATGATTGGCTCCGATACAGGGCGAGTCATGGATGGCGGGCGGTGACGAGGCAGTTGGCTTGTGGTTGGGATGTATGGGCGAATGATTTAGGAATCATGTGGCTGATTAGGAATGGTCCACAGTAGCGAGGTCGTAATTTCGGTACGACGGGCAGTCTTAAGTTATGTGTGTCGAGCAGTACGTAGTCTCCTGACTGGTACGTGACTGGGCGGCGGTGGCGGCGGTCAGCATTGCGCTTAGCGATGACATTGGCTTTTTAATTGCTTCAGCGGCTCTGGTGCGGGCAGCTTGCAGAATTTCGGCGAATTGCTGTGCACGTGGCGTTGGGTTGTTCGGGCTCGGCGTCATGGGCACTATAGGGTTTTGCCCATAGTTCAGATAAAACGGGGATTGCTGCGTCGTCGCTGACGTGGCATTCTTGTACGCGAACTCGATCAGCGGCAGCTGCTGCTCCCAAGTGGTTGGGTCGTCGCACGTGGCACGAATCAACTGCTCCATCATCTGATTCGTCCGCTCCGTTTGACCGTCGCTCCCTAACTGTAGCCAGGTCCCGAACTGCTCCCAGAGGCTTTTCCAGAAGTTGCTGGTGAACTTCATGTCGCGGTCGCTGATTATTGCGGCTAGTATCCCGTGCAATCGAACGACGGCTGCGATGAACAGGCGAGCGGTTTCCTCGGCTGAGATTGATTTCTTGCACGCAGCGAAGTGTGCCATCTTCGTCAACCTGTCAACGACGACCATAACTGCGTCTTTACCCCCACGGTTCGAAGGTAACCACGTGACGAAATCCATGGTAACCTGCTGCCAGGCGTGCTCAGGCGTTGGAATCGGCTGCAACTGACCCGCCTTTCTTTTTCGCGAGCTCTTCATCACTTGACACGTAGGACACGAGCCCACGTGGTGCTGTACGTCGGTCAACACCTCCGGCCAGTTGTAATACCGCTGCAGTTGGTGTCGCATTTTTTCTACCCCGAAATGTCCCGAGGTAATCCCGTCGTGTGCCTCCTGCAGTAGCAGTTCCCTCAGTAGTGAGTACGCGGGTACCCAGATGCGGTTGGTGCCTGTTTTTACGTAATAGACGCCTTTGGCCTCTGCCAGTTGCTGTGAACATCCGGTCGTGAAAAACGGGTCGATACTGTATCCGTGGGTGAATAGGCCTGTTAAAGCCAGCAGCTAAAATAGTGACCCCCCCCTTCTAGTTGGGTCCACTTGAAAGTTGAAGTGCTTTACTTTATTTTTTTTCCAAGCGCATATGATGCTGATCGAGTTTCCTAACTTCAACTCAAACAAAATCGTCGCAAGCATGTGCAAATGCGTCGCTCAAAACATTGCGATGCGCAAGTCTCATTCATATCCAGTGCCAAATTTGGATTGTGAAGCACGTCCAACTCATGCAAAGCAAGCCCAACGCACGCAAAGCAAATGCCTTAGACATGGGCCTGCAAGGGAGGCGATAACAACATGGGAAAAACAAGAAGCGAAAAAAACAGAGAATTTCAGGGCACGAGAGAAGAGACACTTAGTGCAAAAGAAAAGAGGACGCGGGAAGAGAGATGCTTGAGCTGTCAGAACATTATAGTTTATACATTTGTGTAGGCTGTAGTGGGGTAGTCTATAAGGGGTACAACCCAATTAGGGTTAGTACTTGTACCCAAATGTTTCATAGTTCAATCATTCTCGTTCTAATTATCACATGGTATCAGAGCAGGTTCCCCCGTGGGAACTGTTCCTAGGGCCGACCGACCTTTTTTTTCCTGCCCGGAGCGCGCTTGGCCCCTGCCCGAGTCGCGCCCCGTGTGACTCCCCTTCGTGGCCTCTAGCGGCCTCCCTCACGGCCCCTAGTGGCCCCGTTGCGCCGTCCTCACGGCCCCGTCGCGCCGCCCTTGCGGCCCTCTTCGCACCGCCCTCGCGGCCCCCCTTTCCGCGGCCCCGTCGCCGCCCTTTCAGCGGCCCTGTCGCCGCCCTTTCCGCGGCCCCGTCGCCGCCCTTTCAGCGGCCCCGTCGCCGCCCTTCCACAGCCTCGCCGCCCGCCCTTGCAGCGGCCCCGTCGCCGCCCTTCCGCGGGCCCGACGCCGCCCTTCCGCGGCCCCGACGCCGCCCTTCCGCGGCCCCGTCGCCGCCCTCCAGTGGCCCCGTCGCCGCCCGTCAGCGGCCCCGTCGCCGCCCTTTCAGCGGCCCCGTCGCCGCCCGCCCTTTCAGCAGCCCCGTCGCCGCCCTTCCGCGGCCCCGACGCCGCCCTTCAGCGGCCCCGTTGCCACCCTTCTGCGGCCCCGCCGCCGCCCTTTAAGCGGCCAGTCGCCGCCCTTTCAGCGGGCCGTCGCCGCCCTTTCAGCGGCCCCGTCGCCGCCCTTCCGCGGCCCCGTCGCCACTCAGCCGCCTAGCGCCAGAGCCGCCGAGCAGCCGAGCCGCCGAGCAGCCGAGCTGCCCTGCAGCCGAGACGCCCGACCGCCGAGCCGCCCAGCAGCCGAGCCGCCGAGCCGACGAGCCGCACCGCAGCCGAGGCGCTGCCGCCTGTCGGCCTGCCCGAGACCGCCCCACTTGCCTGGTAAGAGCAGCGCCTCTACCACTGCACTGCCCTGCCCCACTGTACTCACTTCCTGTCTACTGCTGTCATGGCCTCCCCTAGTGTTCTCACCTTTGACGCTGAGGGTCGGGCAGTTGACTTTGAGGTCTGGGTAGATGATCTGCAGCTTTTCCTTTAGTGCGATAGGGCAGACGGTCTCTCCCTGTTTGACCTCACTTCTGGTGCCTCTCCTGCCCCTGCTGCTGATGTTGACGCCACTGTTCCCTCAGTGGGCCACGCGTGATGCTGCTGCTCGCCTTGCTATGCGCCGCCACTTACCGACCACTGAGCGTGCACACTTTAGCCTGTACAAGAGTGCACGCTACTCTTCCCCTGCCACTGCTGCACTGAGCCGCCTCATGCTACCGTACCTCTTCCCTGACCTTGCTGCCTTTCCCACTGTCGCTGACCTCATTACGCACCTCCGCACTAGTGACACTCGCTACCGCGCTGCGCTTCCTGCTGAGTTCTGCGCCAAGAACCCCCCCCCCCCCCCCCCCCCCCCATGTACATCACCCTCTACTACATAGTCACCCGGCTCCCTGACTCTCTCCGCGTAGTCAGGGACCACTTCCTCTCAGTTTGCCCCACCACTCTCACCGTTGACCTCCTCGAGAAGGCCCTCCTAGCAGCAGAGAAGAGTATAGTCGCTGTAGGAGCCTCTCGTGGTGACCCTCGCACCCCCGTCTTTGAGGGGTGTTCTCCCTCCCCCCTCTTGCCCTCTGTTGCCTCTGCTGCTGCGGCCGACCTCGTTGGTTTCGAGTCGGTTGGCGCTGCGTCTGCCCCGAGCGGGAGACTCCGCACCGGCAAGGGCAAGGGGGGCAAGGGCGCTAGAGGGGCTGGCGGGGGCGGTGGAGGTGGTGGTGGAGGCAGTGGAGGGAGTGGGGGTGGTGGTGGGAGTGGTGTCGGGGGTGGCGGCGGCGGCGGCAGCAGTGGAGGCGGCGGAGGCGGCGGTGGTGGCGGAGAGAGCGGAGGCGGCGGAGGTGGCGGAGGAGGCGGAGGTGGAGGAGGCGGCGGACGCGGCGGCGGCAGCGGCGGTGGTGGTGGAGCGGGTCGCGACTCTGCGCAGAGGAGTGGCTCAGGTGGTGGTCCGCGCCAGCAGCAGCGGAGTGGTGTGACCCTGTCCTCTCAGCAGCTTCGTGAGTGGTACTCTCCGCGCTAGCGCGGTGGGGGTTTTGGTCCCTGCACTTACGCCCTCCATACCGGTGACCGAGGTGGTGAGCAGTGCGGGGGCCCGCACTCCACCCACCGCTGCTTCGGTCGCCTGACGGACGCGTGGCGTCGCCAGCTCCCTGAGGCGTCAGAGATCCCTCGCTGGGGAGATCTGTCTAGGGCGGGGGTTGCCGTCTTTGATCTTGACTATGATGCTATCCTTGCTGCCATGTATTCTGTGACTACTAGTGTTGAGGGTAACTGTTACCTGTGTGTACCGCCTGACCCAGGCATTGAGGCCACTGCTCTAGGTGCTGGTGAGGCTGCTGCTCTAGGTGCTAGTGCGTCTGCTGCCCCAGGTGCCAGCGCGTCTGCTGCCCCAGGTGCCAGTGCGTCTGCTGCCCTAGGTGCTGGTGAGTCTGCTCTCTCAGGTACTACGTCGGCTCAGGCCTTCTACACCTTCACCCTTGACTCGGGTGCGTCCCGCTCCTTCTTTCGAGACCGCACCACTCTTACGCCGCTCAATCGGCCGGCTGCAGTCTCCCTGGTAGACCCCTCTGGGGGTCCTGTCCTTGCTAGCTTCTCCACTGTCTTACCGTGCCCGGCAGCCCCCTTTGGCACCCTGTCAGGTCTCTACCTCCCCTCGTTCTCTACGAATTT